TATTGAAGTTGTCAAGGATTTCATTTTACTTGGATCCACAATCAACACCCATGAAAGCAACAGTCAGGAAATCGAATGAGGTATTGCATTGGGCAAATCTGCTGCAAAAGACCTCTTTAAAGCGTTAAAAAGCAAAGATGTCACCTTGAGGACTAAGATGTGCCTGACCCAAGCCATAGTATTTTCAATCACTTCATATGCATGTGAAAGCTGGACAATAAATAAGGAAGACTGAAGAATTGATGCATTTGAATTATGGTGTTGGTGAAAAATATTGAATATACCATGGACAGCCAGAAGAACGAACAAATCTGTCTTGGAAGAAGGACAGCCAGAATGCTCCTTAGAAGTGAGAATAGTGAGACTTCATTTCACCAACTTTGGACAGGTTATCAGGAGGGACCAGTCCCTGAAGAAGGACATCATGCTTGGTAAAGTAGATGGTCAGCTAAAGAGAGGAAGACCTTCAGTGAGATGGATTGAGACAGTGGCTGCAATGATGGGCTTAATCATAGCAATAATTGTGAGGATGGTGCAGGACTGGGCAGTGTTTTGTTCTGTTGTTCATAGGGTCACTATGAGTTGGAACTGATTGGATGACACCTAATAATTATGAAATTATATGATATAGTTATGTGATATCTGAGATTTGCTTTAAAAACTCTAGCAAAAAAAAAAAAGTGGAGGAATAAATGAAATTTTTATTAGTTGTTAAAGCTGGGTGATGGGGCTAATTATGCCATTCACACTGTTGTTGTATATGTTTGAAAATTTCCAGTGAAATATACTTTGTAACAGTGAACAGATTTTTAAATGATTGTATCCTGTGATCCTCTTGCTAGAAACAGTTGTTGCTAGGAATATATCCTAAGTAAATAATAATCGATGCAAAAAGTCTATGTACAAAAGTGTGCACAACGTTATTTATATTTGCAAAAATTAAAAATGTTCTTTATCTGACTATAAGGGTATGGTTAAATAAAATATTATAAATTCAAAATAGGTATACATGAGGAGATGTATATATATAAATGATATCTACCATAATCTAGGAATTATGCATATATAAGTATACATATAGTATACATACACACACACACACACATATATATATCTATAGAAAGCACTTCTGTTTGGGAAAAAGGAAGAAGAAGAAAATACATCAGAATGTTATCATTTATTTGTATTTGGGTGGTTTGGGATTTGTTTTTGCTATTTACCTTTCAGCACATTGAATTTTTAAATTTTCTTTAGTAAGCAACTCAACAACAATGGGTTTGGTCTGGGTTTTGGTTTTAAGTATATATTACTTTTATTTTTGATTGAATATTATTTAGTGCCTTATTATTATTTAATAAAAGCCACAACCCCATATTGTATAAAAGTTTTAACTAGATTTTCCATTGTTATCACATATGGCAGGCATTTTAGTGATTAAAAACCCTGTAGATAGGAAAATATGAGTCAGAATGTTTAATATGCCTCTTCCTTTCCAAGATTTTTAACTGACCACAATATGTAGTTATTTCAGAAACCTAGAATGTTACATTTCAGTCTGAAAGCAACACTGCAAATTAATTGATTCAACTGCCTCTTTAGTTCGAAGTGTTTTTCAGTCTCCTCAATCTAGAAATAGCAAGGCATGTTGTCCTAAACTGTCACCCGTCTTCTCCAGTGAATGCAAGAACAATATAGATTTACCCAAAATAAATCTTGCATTTAACTTTCCCAAGACATTTTCATCTGCTCAGTTCTAATAGCTTGTCTGTTAACTTTATTACCTTTCCTGTTTATACCCTTAAAATTATACTATGCAAAAACAAAAACCATGTATTTCAGATTTTCCAGGACAATACTTCAAATTGAATTTCAAATCTGTCCTTTATCCTAACTACATTTATTTCATTTTGTGGTTTAGAAATTCAAATTCCAAAAGTCATTAGAAAAGAAAGGGACATGAGATTTGTTTTGAAATAACTAATAACCTACCTTGGCTTTGGAGAACAAGACAGTTTTATGATTTTTTTCAGAATACTTGCAGCACCCATACCTAAACATAGGTATAGGAATACATTCCAAAGTTAAGGAATTTTAAAAATTTTATTTACATTCTATATTATTCACACTAATGTTGCCTCCCCTAGTATATGTATAAACAACCAATAGTATTTTTCACATACATTCAGTTAAGGAAAGAATGTTGGAGTCAGTGTGGTATTAGGGTTTGGAGTTACATGACTGAGTTTGTTTTCTCACCTCTGATACCTACTGGTTAGGTTATATTGAGGAAGTTACTTAAATTCTCCAAAGCTCAGTGTGCTCTGTTGTAAAATGGATACAGTGATAATGTTTGCAAGAGGAAATAGCAGCCCTTGAGCAGGTCACTACAATTCGCTTCAACAGTAGCTTGATAATATTGCCGCAATAACGCTGATTGGAGCCGCCTGCCGCAGTAGCCAGTTCTGAGGCAGGGGTGAGGTGAGCAGCAAGAGGTTTATTTATATATCGATACGTAGGAGACAGAGGGGAATAGATTACTCCAAAAAACTTGTCTCACCAACTGGACATGGGCTGAAGGCTTTTATAGGGAGAGGATTATGGGTCTTAGAAGTTCGTGTTAATTCCCCCTTGAGGAGGTCATGTGTCAGATGAGTTAATCTTTTACTGGTATTCTTGGGGGTTATCTGGCGACATCCTGGTTTTCTTGTCACAAGATGGGTGCTTTGTTCGGTTTGTCATTCTCAGATCATTATCACTTGTTTTCCACCCTCCAAGGAGGAACATCGGTTAATTTTAAACCTCTTGTAGACACTGGAACCAGAGGGAAAGACAAGATCATGAGACAATGTGGTTATTAGCAATGGGGAGTAAATAATAGTGAGCTGGGCCTATGCAGTCTCTTCCATTAAGATATTGTCCTGGATTGAATTTTTTCCCCAAAAAAATGTGTTTATCAATTTGGCTGGGCCATGATTCCCAGA